ACCCAGGCCCACACCTGTCCACAGCGCTGGGCACAGCGGCCCAAGGGTGGAAGTGCCCGTGTCCATGGATGGACGGATGGGTAAACTACGTGTGGCTTCGGCACACAATGAAGTATTAATCAGCCACAAAAAGGAATGAGGGGGACTAAAGGGGGCTGCAGTCTTGACACTTGTCCCTCGCACTATGCGAAGTGAGGGAATCCAGACACTGAAGCCACGTGGTGCACCAAGCCACCTACAGGGGTGTCCAGACGGCAAGTCTACACACAGAGAGGAGGAGGGCGGGGTGGGCAGGGGCAGGGGAGAGAATGGTCCAGAACTGCTTGACGGGCAGGGTTTCCATTTGGGATGGCGAAAGTGTTCTAGAAGTACAGAGGAGGGCGACCGAGTGCAGTGGACGCACTAAATGCCACTGGGCTGCTCACTTAGAAGTGGTTGATGTATGTTCTATCCATCTCACTTCGATACAGAGGAAAAAACTAACAGGGCATTCCAGACAAGGGGACCAGGGGACACAGGCCAGGGCCGGAGGGACGAGCCTGGCGGGTGCTGGCCTGGACTAGGGGAGGTTTCCCACGTGCTGGGGTGACTGGGGCCTGGTGACATTGGCAGCAGGGAAAGTGGCGAGGGAAGGGGTGGCCAGCCCCAGGCGAGCCTCTCAGGTCCTGTGTCCAGCACAGAGTGTGTCCCAGTGGGCTGGGCAGTTCCTCTGGCTGCTCTGGGGGAGTGAAGCGGAATAGGAGGCCTGGCCAGAGCTGACTGTCGGGATGGACCCTGGTCAAGCGGATGGTGGCCCGGGGAGGCGCCTCCTCTCCTCCCCTTCTCCCTCTGCTGCTTCCCGCTCTCCTACATCCAGCCCCTTCCAGCGCTCCCTGGGAGCCAGGCCTGGAGCGCAGGGCCAACAAGCAGGAGCACAGCCCTGGGAGCCCCCGGGCCTCCACCCTCCACCGCTGGGCAGCCCCAGGCCGGCTCAGGAAAGGCCTGTTCTACAGGTGGGAGGACCAGCCCAGAGTGGGGAGGGCCCTGCCCCGAAGCCACACAGGGGTCCGGCAGGCCAGGGTGGAAGTGGGCCCGCAGCCCACGTCCTGGGCTCTCCCCTCCGTGCTGTGGCCAGGCGGGTGCGAGGACAGGCTCTCGAGATGGCAGGAGCCTCGCTTCATTCAGTTGAGAAAGTGAACAGGCGGCTATTTCTGGACACAGAGCTCCCTAGGGAACAGCGTGGCCCAGGAAAGGCCAACTTCTCAAGGACCGGGTAAGCACAGGAATGACTCCCCAGCTCGGCTGCTGCCCCAGCTTGGGGACAGGGCCCCACGGCTTCTCCTTCCTCCTCTCTGCCCCCAGTGCGCAGCCCCAGAATTTCTTCCCTGTCACCCCTCGGGTCGCCCCTCAGCCCCATCATCCCCACCACTTAAGATGTCCCCACTCCGCCCGCCCGGCTGGACGCGTGACATCTTCTCTGCCTCCCCTGCTTCCTGTCACAGGTGAACTTCTTTCAAATGACAAAACGGAAGCTCAGCAGATGGAGCTGGGGCTGGGGCTCGGGCTGGGGCTCAGGGGTGGAGCGCTTGCCTGGCACGTGTGTGTGAGGCACTGGGTTCCATGCTCAGCACCACGTATAAGTAAGTGAGCAAAATAAAGGTCCATCAATGTCTAAAAACACCTGAATCTCAGCAGAGAACAGTGAGTGTCCAAGATCACCCAGCTGCTCAGTGCACGGGCACAATTTGTGACCATCAGTCCTGGCCCGGTGGGCTACTGATTTTTATTTTTGATCATACAACCCATCAGTAAGAATATATTTTTCTTATGACTTCACGTATATAACCTTGTGCCAATATACTACATGTATTAGATGAAATATCTCCAAAAGCGGATTTTCAAAAAGGTTCAATAGAAAATAAATGTCTGAACAGACGTGCTAGTCCTCCTGTTCCCATGCCTTCGGCAGGAACTGTGGGCCTCTGGGATTCCTTGGCAGTGACCTTGACCTTGAGTGTCTGTGAGGATCCTCTGGGCATGCGGATGCCTGGGTCCAACTGCAGAGAGCCCGGCTCCGCCTGGGGATGGTCAGGAACTGCACTTAGCCAGGCCTGGGCAGGGCCCACCCTCGGAAGCTCGCTGGCCTTTCCTGGTTTCCGCCACACACAGGAACAGGGGCAGCAGGTGCTGCCCACTACCTGCTGCTTCTCCCTCTGAGCCCCCTGTGAATCTCACTGTCACCAGGAAATGCAGCACATCAGAGGCTGTCGCTGGCTGAGTGGAAGCTGACCCCAGGAGGACCAGCCCTGTCAGGACTAAGGCCCCCCAGGACTGGACCTGCAGGCTCAGGGTCCCCAGGTGCTCTGGAGAGACCACCCCTCTTTCTGCAAATCTGCTCCCCATCTCCATGTCTCCATGTCACCTCCTCAACCTTCCACAGACCCCTGTGATCTTTCAGTTGAAAGATCAGCCCAGGAAGGGGCCCAGGGAGGCGTGTGGTTTTTTGACTTTTTAAAGGGCCTTTTTCTAACCCTGCCTAGAGCAGCCTGACCAATCACAGAGGTCTCTGTGTGCACCAAGAGGAACATCTTGTCTTCTGGGATGACTCAGTCACTGCAGAAATTTCACTGTGACCAGGGGACGCAGCACGTCAGAGGCCGCTGCGGTGGCTGGCTGCAGGTTTGCACCTGCCCCTCAGGCCCCTGCGTCTGTGAGCCTTCCCTGGGCAAGACCTGTGTCCACCACACCAGCCACAGCCCTCAGTGCCACTGAGGCCGGCACCCGCCAGTCAGCTAGTCACTCGACAAGCACACAGCAGTGCCCATCATGTGCTGCCCAGTGGGCATCAGGTGCCCGTGCGGCTGCCACTCTTGGCATGTGTCTGGGCTGAAACTGTCCTCACCGTCACACAGAAAGCACCACGTCCTGGCTGTTGCCCAGAGGGCATGGCCTTGCTGGGCAGGCAGGGAAGCAGGGGTAGGGCTAAGGACAGCCTCAGCTCCTGAGGGCCTCAGAACTGTGACCCCCTCCCTCAGGTCCCATTTCAAAGAACCAAAGATACATACTGAGCAGCCAGTGGGTACCAATCAATTAAGAAAAAAAAATCCTGGGACTTCCTACCTACTGGAGGCCGGGCACTACTAAAGACACAAGGAGTCGAGGGTGGTGGCCCACGCCTGTCATCTCAGTGGCCCAGGAGGCTGAGGCAGGAGGATTGAAGTTCAAAGCCAGCCTCATCAAAAGTGAGGCCCTAAGCAACTTGGCGAGACCCTGTCTCTAAATAAAATGGGGCTCAGTGGTCAAGTGCCCCTGAGTTCCATCCCCAGTACCGCCCCCCCACCCCCACCCCGCCTCCGCCAAAAAGACACACAAGGAATACAGAAAAGAGTAGAAGCTTTCCAAAATTTCATACAGGACAGGAAGGGGACAATACAGAAGGGTCACTGAAGGAGGAAGCTTTGGGGTGGGCTTCAGGGACAAAGCAGATTTAGGGGAGAGCGAGGAAAGGCATTCTGGGCAGAGGGAACAGCACAGGCAAAGGCACGGGTTCCAAAGCATGAGCTGAACTTGAGAACTAGAGGCAGGGTTCTCAGGAGACAAGCGAAGGCAGGGCGCAGCAGACAGCCTCCAGGGGGGCATTGTGGGGTGGCTGCTCTTCCTGCCAAACCTGAGCTGGAAGCCGACCCCAGGAGGACCAGCCCTGTCAGGACTAAGGCCCCCCAGGACTGGGCCTTCAGACTCAGGGTCCCCAGGTGCCCTGGAGAGACCACCCCCCTTTCTGCAAATCTGCTCCCCGTCTCCATGTCACCTCCTTAACCTCCCACAGACCCCTGTGATCTTCCAGGTCAGATTCCTCTTCCCCACCACCCACACAGAGGGGCCCTCAGCCATTCCCAAACTGAGTCCCCCCTCCCTGGCTCGGTGGCTCGTGCCATCCGACTCCAGGGCGCTCCTGTGCATACGCCCATCCACGCCTCGTACCCTCGGAAGCCCCTTCCCATCCAGCCAGGGACAGCCCCTGCTCTCGCCCCACCCTGACTCCTCCCACGTAAGGGAACAGAGGCGCAGACAAGCAGCAGGCCATGGCGAGGAGACTCACAGCCTGTGCAGGGTGCTCTGGCGCGAGGACTGGGGAACGGCGGCCACCAGACTTGTGGGGGAGCAGGAGGAAGGGGAAGGAAGACTCCCCGGCCCAGTCCCATAGCAAGCAGCTGGGTCCTGCAAGAGACCTGGCCACGGAGCTCAGCAGCCCGGTCAGCGGGCAGGCACAGACCACTGCTCTCAAGGGCTGGCCTCGGGCTGTGCAGAAGCTGGTCCTCAAAGAAGTATCGGCCACCGCCTCTGAACACACCCACTGCCCCCAGAGCCCTGGAGCAGCAGGGCTGCAGAGAAAGAGGAAGGGGCCCTGGTGTCAGGGACTCTGCCCTCACCACCCTGGGCTCTCTGCCTGCCCTTATGTGGCAGAAAGGGCCAATCCTGGGGGGACCCCCGCTGCCTCCAGCTGCTCCCCACCCCGCGTGTCTGAGGCCCCTTGGTGACCCAGAGTACCAACTGGGCATGTGCAGGAGGGGACGCCCAGGCACGAGGGAGAGCACCCTCCAGGTTCACTGGACACGGGATCCAGGCTGGGCCGGAGGAAAGCCCTCAAGTCCACCCTCGCCTGGCCCGGCCCCCCTAAGCCCGGGAGAAGTGGTAACAGCTGCTGCAGCGCAACTTCCTGGCTGGGCTGGTCCGGGCGGCTGTCCTGGAGTCTACTCCGGACTGGCCGGTCCAGGGAAGCCGTCCTTCCCGCCAGCCCTCCCTCCTTACCTTGCTGGGGATCCACCGTCCTGCAGCTGGGGCTCAGAGGACCTGCCTGGGAGGCCTTTGTTGCAGGGAGCCCCCTGCTCCGTCGCGCCCTCACCAGCCTCTGCCAGGCAGCCCAAGCTGCTCACAGACAGCATCTCTCCCCACCTCTCCTCTCCCCGCCCCGCGCAGCTGAGGCCACCGCCTGCCTCCCTCGGCAGGAAGCGCCCGCCTGATTTCCTACAAGTGTTTGTCAGAAGGAGGGGTTCGCGGTGCAGAGCGAGAGCCCAGGCGCTTAACCCCTTGCAGTTCAACCTCGGGTCTGCGCTGCCCTGGAGAGGGGCTCACCGGATCTTCTGATGTCACAGGCTTGGGACCATCTTACCCACTAGCCTCCAGGTACAGACTGGGAGACTGGGGCCCAGAGAAGTTTAGAGGCTTGGCCAAGGTCACACAGCTGTGCCAGGGAGGAGGCCTGAAGCCTCTATCCTCTGCTGGCTTCTTCGGTGGCTCCTTTCCTCCCGTGACCCCTTTCCTCCCGTGACCTTGGCCGACTGTACAGTGGGGGCTGAGACTGGATGCTCCCTGGGGACCTTCCAGCTCCAATACTGTTTGCCAAATGACAAAGGGATCCAGGCTGGGCCTGGACACTCCCCAGGGGGGTGTGAGACTCCTCACCTCTGCCACAGCCTCACCCTAAAGTGGCCACAGCCACCATGGAGGTAGGGACCTGGCTGAGCTGGTGGATTTCCCTGTTGTAAGTGCCCCTGGCTCCCCAGGGGTCCAGGCACAGATTTATCCAGTGGCCCTGCCATCCTTCCCCAGGAGCCCCCTGAGCGCGCCAGGTGCCGGGTGTATGGCGCACACAGCGCAGGTGGAGCGCTGCCCCCCTGCCCTGGGGACACACAGCCAAGAAGCTAGAGAGGTGTGCAGGGGACAGAGCTGGGGAGGCGCAGGGTGACCAGTGTCCCAGGCGGTCCTGGCACTTCTGACACCGGGGCTCACCCCTGAGCTGCAGAGTCTGCCTCTGGTCACCCGTAACTTCCAAGGTCCAGGTGGCTGGGACGAAGAGCAGCAGGTTGGGGAGGAGGCCTGGGACTGGCAGGAAGGGCTGTGACAGCCACAGGGGTGGAAGTCGGAGCAAGCCGCAGGAGGGCCACAGAGAGCCGGGGCCACGGAGAGCCGGCGGGGCTGGCCCGAGGCCAGCGGGGCCAGCCAGGGGGTCAGGAGCCACGGTGGAGAGGGCACGGGGTCAGTGGAGAGGGGCAGGGCTGACCCACGGTGCCAGCTCCCAGTGCTGCCCCACCCTCTATCCAGAGAGGCTCGAGAAACAAGCAGAACAGCCCTCACAGCTGTCCCAAAGCCTCCAGGTGACGGACAGTGGTGTCCCCATTGGAGAGAAGGCAATCCCAACCTGCGCCCAAGTCCCAGCCCCACTTCCTACTGGCTGTGACCTCTGAGCTTCTTTAAGCCTAAGTCTCTGGCCTGTAAAGCAGGGCTAGGAGTAGCCACCGTAGAGCTGAGGCGACACCCACCGAGCGCAGGGCAGGGGACCCGGAGCAGCTCAGCCCGAGTTCAGTGAGCTCACTACCATTGCGGCCAGTGCTACTGAGGCCCAAGGCTCCGGTGCCCTCCAAGGCCTGGGCGGGACGGCCTCTCCTCCAGCCTGGCACACCGTCCCCAGCAGTGGGGTCGGGGGGCGGTCAGTGGTGTGTGTGGCAGAGCCGGGCTGTACAGGCCCCTCTCCCAGCCTGCGCCATGGCTCCTCTGCCTCTCACCCACATCTGGCTGGCGGGCTCCAGGCCCAGCCCCAGCCCACCATGGAGCGGAGCCAAACCCCGAGGAGGCCCCGGTGGGCCATTGTGAGGGAGGCGGGCTCCCCGACTGCTGCCAATCACCCACCACCCTCCCTGCTCATGAATGCGGCAGCCCTGCCAGCCAGGCCAGGTGGCTCCTCCGGCAGGCGCCCACCCCCGAGGCCCCTGGATCAGCCAGCCCCTCTCAGGGGCAGCCTTAGCACTGGGGTGCTGGCTCTTAGAGCCCGGAGCCTTGCTGTCCCTCGTCCCTGCCCTTGCTCACACAGCCTAGGGCACACCCAGGACACGGGAAGCCACAGCTGCTGACCCACTGAGCCCTGGACAGCCAACCTCACACCTGTCCTCAGGCCCAGGGGTGCGGGGCAGCCACGGGGCTTCACTGCCTCCTGGGGGAGCTGGGGTGGCAACCCCCGCCCTGCTGTGCTGCTCTGTCTCCGGCCCTCCCAGGCCTGCAGCCTCCCCCTGCCCTGGGAAGCCCCCACCCCCAGTTCAGCCACCCTCCTGCCGAGCTGCTGAGCTGACCCCGGCAGTTAAAATCCCCAGGGAGTCAGGTGAGGGTTTCAGGAGTGGCCTGGAAGTGGAGAGCCAACCCCACCTGGGAGAGCCAGGACAAGAGTCTTCCCTTCTTAGAACCAGGATTTAGAGATTCTCTCTGAGGCCATCAGAGATTATCTTCTAACCCTAAACCTCCGGGGTTCTCCGATCTATTTGCCCCACGGGCAGCACTGCCATGCCGGTGGGCAGCCGCAAGGGCACAGGGCCTGTGGGCAAACGGAAACTGCAGGTTTCCCTCTGGAAACTGTGTGGCCTCAGGAAAGTCACTTAACCATACTGAACCCCAGATTCCTTTATCTGTAAAATGGATACTGACTTTCCATGGTTCTGAGGGTGATAAATGAGGTCATGGGCCTATGGTTCTTGGCCTAGTGCCCACAGCAACTGCTCACAAACGATGGCTTTGGTCTTGGTGAAACACTCATCATGTGGCTTGGTTTTGAATCCCATATGCAAAAAGGCACAGCCCACCCTCCCAAGGGGAGGGAAACGCTGCCATCTCCTGGTGCCCCCAAACTAGTCCTGGGGGCCAGTGACCCAGCTAGAAATGGTGTCCCCACCCTGAGTAGTTCAAGAAGGGAGGAAACAGGCCTCCCTTGGCTAACTGAGGCACAGGTCACAAGGAGGGTGGACCCCGTGTACACCACAATTAATGCTTTTCAAGAAATCAAACCAAAAAAGTGCATATACCAGGACGCACTGCTAACAGCGAGGCTTCACCGAGCACCTACTGTGCGACCGATACCTTGTTAATACTCCTGCGTGGACTCGTTTTCACTTCTCAGTCCTGGGCCAATCCAAGGAGGCAGATGTTTCACGGGTGAGGAGCCTGGGCTTCAGCCAGGCTGTCCAGATCCAGAAAGCGCCCTCTCCATCACTTCATGACTGAGGCCTGCAGAGATGAGAAGGTTAGAAACAACCTCAGTGTCCAACAAAAGGGGATCCATGAAATGAATTCTATTTCCACTCAAAGGGATACTCTGAGCCACCATGGGCATGCTACAGAGGAATAAAAATGGGTGAAAAATCATGATGCATTCAGCAAATGAGCTGGATATAAAGTGATACGCATCAAGTCTGAGTCCACTAAAGGGAAAGAAAATACAGTAAAACATGGAAGAAGAGAGGGAGACAAGGAAAAAGGGAGAAAGAAAATTTTTACAGAGATTATCGCTGGGTGAGTTGTAGGGAAGTTCACTTTCTCATTACGCATATTTTCTAAAACTAACAGTCGCTTGAACATAAGCATCAGATGAACATCTACTATGCTTGGAACACACCCCCCCCCCTGGATCTTTCGAGACCTGGGGTGTGTTCCTCCTCAGTGTCCCCACCTACGGGGGCTGGGGAAAGTGAGGGCTGTGGGACCTCAGGGCTCTGGCATCCCATGCCTCCCACGCCTCCGCCGTCCAGGGTCTCGTGCACACTCTATGCACACACGGCCACTACACAGCAAGCACATGGTCATGTGGACATCACAGAAAGGAAAGGAGCAATCAGCTCCAGTCTCACCCACTCAGCATTTTGGAGCATGATGAGTTGTCTCATTGGACCTTCCTAAGTAATCATGCATGTGATAGAGGGGAGAAGGCTCGGAGAGGTTATATGACTTGCCTGAAGTCACACAGCACACTAGGGGCAGAGCTGGTCTGTATCCACAAATAATTACCCTTCAGAGTAATTCCTTATTTAAAGGGGCTGAGTGGAGCCCCTAGGACTCTGACTCCTCCCCCCAGTCCTTAGTCCTTGGCTGTGATCCCAGGACTCCAAGGAGACTGACACTTGGGCTCTCATTATGGCTTTGATCCCTGTCTCTCTCCCAAAATAGGGAGATGCTGGCACGGACCTGAGATTGGTGTGGGAGCAGCCCTGGGGTCTCATTTGGCAACCACGATGGAGTCTGGCTGTACCTGGCAGGGGACAGCAGGGTCCAGAGGGGACAGCAGGAGGGGGGAGGAGGGTCCGGGTGTCTGGGGCAGGATGGCCTGGGTCCTGAGCGGGTGGTTCAGACCTCAGCTGGTTTGCTTCCAGACCTCTGATGGCTTCATCGACACCCGAGGACGAGGCTTCCCTGGGGTGAGCAGGGACAGCAACAGGAGGATGTGATTCCACTCGGGGCACAGGGGGCCCGCACGGAGCAGGGCTGCCGTGAGCCTCTCCCACGCCCCCTGAGCTCAGTCTTCAACGCCTCGCGCAGGCTGCTGGGTAACTCTCCCGGGACACCATCCTGGTCAGGCTTTTCCCCGGTGAAAGACCACTGAGGGCTCCGGTCACCTGGAGGCTCAAGGCCAGTCATTCTGGCCTGGAGTCTGGGCTCACAGCGGCCTCTTCCTGGGCCAGGGGGCCACCACTGTGACTCTCACAGTGACTGAGCCCCATGGCTCTCAGGCTGCCTGACCAAAGTACACTGCTGTGGGGGTCAGGCCCCTGAACGGCCAGGAACCCCCAATCCCAGCCACTCTGTAGAAGCAGGGCTGGAGGCCCCCTCAGGGCACTCTGCATACAGCTATTGAAAAACAAAAAAGGACAAGAAAAAGACCCCTTGTGTTATTTACTGATTTCCTCACCGTGGCCAATTTCAAGCCGCCAACATGAAATTACTGAACACAGCCCTGGGTAGAGGGGCACCATCAGCTTCCACACCCCTGCACATCCCAAAGTAAAGACAGGCTAACCCTAGAGAAGAGCTGGGTGACTTCAGGCAAGTGACTCAACCTCTCTGAACCTCAGGCTTCTCATCTATAAAATGGGGACAACAATTACATCTACTTCAAGGCAATATCATGAAATGAAATTTCGGAATCTAGTAGGGCTCTGTACTGGGCACTGGGGAATGACAGTGGGGACAAAACGGAGGAGAGCTCCTGCCTTCCTAGACCTCCTTGCAGTAGAACCCAGGCAGAGGCTAGAAGCCAGCACTCATCGTGGTCAGAAACATTGTTGTCACCGTCCCTTCCCTTCTCTGGGCTGACCTTGGAACGTGGGAGCAGAAGCTGTCCAGGATGCCAGATGCCACCCACTCCAGCCTTGGGAGGTGCTCAGGTAAGCCCTGCCCTGCCCTTCTCACAGAAGGGACAGCGAGGCTCTGGGAGCTGGAGGACCTGGCACTCAGGGGCCCTGTGGAGGCTTTAAACTCCCTCTTCCTCCTGCTCCCTCCTGGGGTGCAATGAAATGTCCCAGCTGACACCTCAGCCTGGACCCGCCCCAGTCGCTGGAAATCCCAGCCCCTGCGCCTCGGGAGGCGGAGTCTGCGGGACGGTGGGGGCTGATGAAATCCCCTCGAAACAGCCTCAATCACATGTTTCAAACGCAAACCAGCTGGCCTTTGGGAGGCGTGGGCACCTTCTTCCTCCCACGAAAGAGCAGAGACTGCCTGTGGGGATAAACCCGAATGCAGTCCCCAGAACACCATAGGTTCCATCCCACTGTCAGTAGGTAAACCAGACTTAGGGGCCCGCAGCCCCCGTCCCTAATCCACGGGCACCAATTCTGTTTGCCTAACAAAAAAGTCAAAAAGTGAAACCCACCAATTCCACAGGAGGCACCTGGACAATTATTTTGGGAAGTCCCTGTCTGTATCTAATCTTAGCCCTTTATGCTTCATTTTCAGTCCATTCCTCCTTCTGATCTACAAGAACAGAAGAACAAAGTCTCTTTTCATTGCAGCTTCTTTTCTCAGCCCTAAAATAGCTTGGGTTTGCTATCAGCAACCCTCCTTTCCAACTTTCTCATTCAGAAGCAAAAGCTTTTTAAACCTGAGTAAGGATCTGCTCCACGCTGTCACTTCTTTCAACTAAAGCCTGGGAAAGGAGCATTGGAAAAGTCACGTCCAAGATCAACCCAGCAAGCAGGCTCTGGTTTTGCCAGCGGCAGGCGGCAGTCCCAGGACGCTACCCCGCAGTGCGCCCTTGGGCAAGCTGGCCTCCTCTCTGGGCCTCAGTCCCCTGGTGTGTACCAAGAGGTGACTGGCCTTAGTTCTGCAGTTCGTTCCGGCTCCTATCACTGTCCAGACTGCCCACTGCACGCTAGGCCTTGCTCTCCCTCCCTCCCCCTGCCAAAAAAAGAGGAAAAGAAACTTGCGTTAGGCGTCCGGGGCGGGAGCGCGGCTCGGAGCCGCCGGGCTGCGCGGGCCGTTGCCGGGTGAACCAACCTCGCACAAATCCCAGAACTGCAAAGCCCCACCTCCCCGGTAACCACAGCGACCCGGGCCACGCCTCCGGCCCCCGCAGCCCCCGGCTCCCCGGGGACCCCTTCGCTCCCTGCGATCGGCCCAGCCCGAGGCAAACGGCCGACGCCCCCACTCTGCGGAGGTGGAGACTGAGGCCCGAGGGCGGAGACGGGTCCCGGGACCGCGCCCATTCCCGGGGCCGCAGTCCTTCTCCTCCCGCGGCGCGCGGGGTTTCCACGTGGGGAAGACCCAGAGCAGCGCGGGCCCTGGGGAGGGAGCCCACCGCGGCGGTCCGGCCTCCCTCCCCTTGTCCAGGCCGAGAAACTGAGGCCTGCGAGGGGCCGCGCCCGGCAGGAAGCCCCCGAGCTCCTCCCAGTGCCTCACCTGCTGGGACCCGCGCGGGAGGTTTCCTGGAGTTGAGCGGCAAACAAAGGCCTCCAATCCGCGCGCGGGGCGGGGCGCGGCGGGGCGGGGCGGCCGCCTCTGAGCTCCCTGCGGCCGACCCCCGGCAGCGGGAGGCGGGGCCTGGGGCGGGGCCTCGTGAAGCTCCACCAATCCCAGGGAGGCGGCTGCTGCGGCCCGCCCTCAGGGACTGGGACTCCGGGGAGCCTGCTCGCGGCTCCGGACTGAAAAGCTCACTTCTGGTAGGCAGCTGCTTCCGACTGGAGTGCCCCGGGGAGTCCCCGAGGAGATTATCGCACGGGGACACCCGGAGGAAGAAATCACAAGCTTATGGCTGAAATGGTCTGCTTCATAACCTAGCAATAAACTTTATTGGGCCGGAGAGGGACAATAACTGCCCGAGATCGCGCAGTGACTTCAGGACAATACTGTCCCCCCAAAGCGCACCTTGAACAATGGCCGTATTGTAGGGTGTCAAACTGAACTAGGCTCTTGTGCCACTTACTGCCACTGAACTGCCACAAATGTGACTCATAACCTTCAAGACTCTCCACCATCCCCTCCCCGCCTTTGGCATCATGAGTAACGATGTCAGGGCCACAGGTGTCCATGGCCTGGGTGGACGTCTGACCCCTCCGGCCTCCCCGGCATATTGGTCCCTTAAAAGACACCAGGGCAGCCGGGCACGGTGGTGCATGCCTGTGATCCCAGCTGCTTGGGAGGCTAAGGCAGGAGGATTGGGAATTCAAAGCCAGCCTCAGCAAAGGTGAGGCATTAAGCAATTCAGTGAGACCCTGTCTCTAAATAAATACAAAATAGGTCTGGGCATGTGACTTAGTGGTCAAGTGCCTCTGAGTTCAATCCCCAGTACCAAGGGGGCGGGGGAACACCAGGGCAGGTGTTTGTCCTGGGCCTTTGTGTTGTGGAAAGAGCAGGCCTGGGCCTCAGGCCACCAAGTCCAAACCTGCCCTTCCTAGCTGTGTGCCTTGAGCAATTTGACCTTTCCAAACCACTTGAAATGCAGCTTTTGGGTTTAGAGACCTGCAGCAGGGAGAAATCCACACACCCAACAAATAGCAGCACTAGAGTCAGGCCCAGGAATTCTGGAGGGGTCTGTCCCTCTGTTCTCTGACTGTTCGACCAAGTAAGGAGATGGTGGATTCAAGGCAGGGACATCACCACCCGTGCTGGAGTTCACAGAGCAGGTCAGTGACTGACCTCAGGTTTCCATTGCTAACCAGTGACCTTGGAGCTCTCCATTCAGCGTAGACACACCAGGGCTTGGGCCCTGGAAGTATGGCATTCACAAGGCCAGCGGCTCCTGGAATCCTCCCCGCAGGGCCAATGTTGGTCCAGAAATTGAGCCCTACACCGCATCCCACCTCCCCTGCAGGGAAGTGGCACTGTCCCCACGGTATCAGTGTCCTTCAGCTGCTGTGACAACTACCGCTTTTGGTGACTCTGAACAGCATGCATTTGTTCTCTTATAAAGACAGACAGGTCAAAAGTCCAAAGTCAGGACCACTGGGTGGGTTCTCTGCAGGGAGAAGCATCTGGCTTCTGGCTGCCCATGGCCGCCAGCACCCCTTAGCGCCTGAGTCTATCCTTCATCTTCAAAGGGTTCTGCTCCACCTGCTTCCCTCAGCCCAGCCCCTCTCCTCTTCTGCATCAAATGTCCCTCTGACTCTCTCTTAAAAGGACACTGATGACAATGGCCCACCTGGATGCTCCAGGACCTTTTCCCCAACTTAGGACTTGAACTTCACCACATCTGCAACTGCTGGCTGAGGTGCTGCTCCCAGGTTCCAGGAGTGGGGATCTAGTTCTTTGGGGGGGGGGGCTATTATTCAGCCCACCATATATTATAGGACCCTCGGGGCTCAGGTGAAATAACTTGTCTGTGACCGTGGGGTTGGCCCCCCTGAAGTGGGACAGTGTAACAGACCCTGTGGGAGAAAAAGGGCAAACAAGGCCCCTTGAAAGGGCTGGAGCCTCAGGTGGTTTCCCCAGCTGGAAAGGGAACGGGGACAGCTAAGAGTAGGATTTCAAACAAGACCCTGGAACCAGTGCCCCATAACTACCCCACCACCACCCCGAGCTCTGGACAAAGGGCTGGGCAAAGTAGGACTTCTTACACCTTTCCTTCACCAGACAGTTCCTGGACAGGAGGAAATGGGCACTGGGGCTGGCCCTGAGCTCCTACGCCGTTTCCTTCATCCTCCCCAACCTGAGCCTCCAACACCCACTGCCCTTGACTGCTGAACTGCTGGGCCCGAGCGGGTAGGAGAAAGCAGAGGTGACTGGGTGTTCACCATCTCGCCCAAGGACCGGCAGGCACAGAAGCCCAGCCCTGCCTTGAGTGGCTACCACTGCAGGTCTCCCTTACACTCCAGGGTCCCAGTGGGTAAGGCAGAAGCTGCCCTCTGGGGACTGAAACGTCCAATCCCCTGGCTTCCTGCTGTCCCTGTCCTGCTCCCCCTGGGAGCAGCTCCCTAATGAATCACTTGCATGTAAATCCTGGGCTGAGTCAGCTTCCTGGGGAGCCGACCTGCAGCCAGAAATCCGTGCTTGCTGGGTTCTGCATCATGCTGTGCCTGTTTTACTCTAAAAATATTATCTCTACACACTTAAGTTTTATCCTCAAACCTTCAAGGAAGGTGCTTCAAGATGCAGGTGAGGCTCGGGCGCCCCTGCCCACCCCGCCATGAATCCAAGACTAAGCCATGGGGCAGGGGTTTCAAGGTGGCCCTGCGGGGTGCTTTCCACCTGTCCTGCGTACCCCTCCACATCGAGCACTCAGAACCCAGCCACCTAGGCCGACCACACAGCACTCTGGCCCTAACCTTGTTCAGATTTCTTTATTGAAAAATTAAAGTCGTAAGCTCTGTATATAAATACACTGACCCTGCTGGTCATCTGCAAGGCCTCCAGGACAGGCTGGGGGGGGGGGGGGGAAGCTGGGGCCGTGGGGTCCCCTGGAGTGTGGGGAGGAAATAAATAATAAATACTGTGGGGAGAGGAGCCAGGAGGAAGGGTGTGAGTGGGGGCGGGCTTGATGCTTGTTTGTGGCACTGAAGGTCTTGCAAGATGCCCCCGCAGGAAGCCGTGTCCGAGGTCTCCTGTGTCCTTGCTGCAGAGGCTCAGGCATCTGGGGGTGGGCTGGGTGCTAGCTGGCTGGGGACAGGAGTGCCACCCTCCAGCCAATGGAAGCAGGCACTCTGCCCTTCCTCTTCTGTCTTCCTTCCCAGAACCTCTCGTATTGAGCGCCCACCGGGTCCCCGGCACCCCAACTCTGCCCTGCCCTCTGTCGGCCTTGCCCAGTTCTCTTTTCTCCCAGTTCTGGTGCAGTGGGCCGGGAGGGAGTGGGGACGCCTTCCTGCCACCCAGGCCACGCAGCCCCTCCCCCTCGAGGAGCCTGAGAGTGGCAGGACAGGGGAGGGACCCGGGGCTGGGCAGTAGTGGGAGGCCCTTAGGCCTCGGCCCCTAGAGCATCACATTGAATTCGGTGACCAGGAAGTCGATGTAGTCACGGTCCTTGGTCTTGAAGGCCTCGGCGATGATGCGGGCAGCCTCCCGATGCTCCTTGCCCCGGAGCGTCAGCCCGTTCACTTCCAGGATCACGTGGCCCACCTTGAGCTGCCCACAGTTGTGGGCTGACCCGCCTCGCTGCAGGGTGAGACACAGGGCAGGGGTCACATGGGGCACCTGAGCGTTAGGCAGGCCTGGCTCTGACCACCCCCTGAGCAGCCTGACACTGCCAACCAGCAGCCACCCCCCGGCTTCTGCTGCCACCCAGCACAGGTGAGGCGAGCTTCCTGGGCCTGGTCCAGTGGGTCGATGTCCTCTTGCTGTCCTGCCCACAGCCCGATACCTCAAGGAGTCCCAGTGCCTGGGCAGGGGCTGTCCTTGGATGCTGTCATCTCGGGGTAGCAATTCCCCAGGGATCCTGAGACATGGGCCGTCAGGAGTAGAAAGATGGTCAGCAGGGACCCTCAGGTGTACCTGAATGGTGACAATCCTAGGCAGGGGCTGGCGTGTGTTGGCGCCACCCTCGATGGCGATGCCCAAGGTAGCTGCACTTTTCTTCACGCGGACCAGGGTGGACGTAGGCTCCAGGAGTCCAGGCTGCAGGTGTAAGGAAGGTGACCGCAGGCCTTCTCAGTGGACAGGCCTGGCCGGGGACAGGGCT